AACCGATCCTGGTCGTACTTGCAAGCTCTACGATCTGCCTACATCTTTGAACTTGAGCAGACAATACAGGTATGATGCAGTTTCTGACTGATTCATTTGACTTCTCTCACCTTGAGAATTCATATATTTAACGATTCAATGGAACAATTATTATTTTCAGATTAGCTGGAGTCGTCTCATACGATGCGACCTATGATCATTTCGTGGCCTACTGTTACCGTCGTACTGGAACGTGGGAGTACCATGATGGACTACTCAGTAAAGTAAAACCTGTGAAAGGAAATCCGGTGATACAACCTGAATGTGCCTTGTATCTGATTAATCAGTGAGCAGGAACGTTCACTACGCTCAACATTTCAGTTTTCTGTGTCGCCAAAGCTAGTTCTTTATCTTAAGTATATTAGTTATAATATGATTCTTATCGAATGTTATTTATTTAAATAAAGATTTTATTGAAAAAATTCAGGAAGACGAGAGATAGTGAACCAAGAGTAAATGGTTTTTAGTTTGATTGTTTTAATACAAACTCTCATGTTTGAACATTATTTCGTGATGAAAGTAAACTGTAAATAGAACAATATAAAAGACTGTTGTTGTACCTGCAACGCAAAGCCTCTCCCCCCAGACGATACAGCTTATATGCATAATTTACATCTTTTCTCTTTAGTTCTTTCATGAATTCATTATCAAATACGTAGTACTGTAATTATTGGAAGTTTCTTGAGAAGGAAAAGTTTGATTTAGGAGAATTACGTGCAAGAAAATTATTAGGAGTGAAATAACACATTCTGTTGATTCAAATGTTTCATAAAATTTCTTTATTCAAAACAGCGATGAGATACGGAAAGTGGATGGAAAATCACTTACGTATTTTTATTCTTGAAAGATAATACGATTTCGGAATTATATCAAATTATGATGTCATAATGCTACGTATTTCTGTGTTTTTGCAAAACGCTATCATATGTTGTCATTCTCAATCGCTAATCACTTCATAGTTCTCAATTATTCTTCGAAATAAGAAACACGTGTCCTCTCATGAAGTAGGCACAGTTCACAACAAAAAAATGTCTTCTCGTGACCTTAATTGAATCAGAATTTCTTTGCCCATTTTTGACGTGGAAAAATAAAACAAAGATCGAAAAACATGTACAAATGATGGAATACGAAAAAATACGAAAACATCATACAAGCTTCCACCTTTTTATACTATTTGATGATAAAAGTGAACTGGAATTAAAACAATATAAAAAAAACTGGTTCCATACCTACAGCACTAATTCTTTTGCTCCAGGGGATGTAGTTTGCATGCACGATTTACGTTTCTTTTCCTTCAATCTAAATTTTCTTCGTGAATGCAACTGAACATCTAGGACCACAGTTATGAGAAGTTGTGATGCCTGGTTTACGTGAAACAAATTATCAACAGATGGTGATATGATACATCCCACTAATTGTGTCCTAGCATGGAATTCCTTGATCGAATGGAACAATAAAGACCTAAAAATTCGATGGCAAATAACATACGTTTTCTGTAGCTTGAAAAATGATAGAAAATCAAGAAGTTATGTCAAATTTTGGTAACGTCTGCATTTATTATTATATTCAATGATAGAGAAATTCCATGCAAAAATTCCAGTGATCCAATTATTTCGATATTGTGTTCACTTTAGAATAGAACAAAATTGTCGCTCGTTCATAGTTCTTCTATGAACGAGCGACAATTTTCTACTAACTATTTCCCTTCGTGACCCTCACAATCCAGTTTGACTGTTCATTTTTTACACATGAGCTAACTTTCTTTCATTCGATAAAATATAATAGATTTATGAGATCTGTACGAATCTTCAGAACTATTAAGTTGATAAAAAAAATGAAACTTAGGAAAACTCAAGAAATATTTCATTTAGACAAATAATTTCAAGNAATAAAAAAAATGAAACTTAGGAAAACTCAAGAATTATTTCATTTAGACAAATAATTTCAAGACACACTTCTTTTATTATTTTAAATATTCTAATTTTTTCAATGATAAACTGATTATCGACTATATTGCATTCATTAAGTGCAATCGGCAGTTCCTTATAGTGTATTTCAATGGTAATAATTAGCTTCCCGAAATGGGAGTAATTTGATCTTGGCTTGGACACAAATTTTCATATTTTGCAATTAATTTGTCAAGAGAAGTCGTACAATAGGTTGATCTCATATGGTGAACACATGTATGCATCGTTCCAAATCTTTGTCTCCCATTTCTTGTTGAATCATATGATAAGTAATAAATACAAAACTCTGTATTTCTCACTGCTTTTTCTTTGCGTTAGACTCTTCCATGCATCTTAACTTTGGGCATGTCTATCGTTGCAGTTTTGTCTCGAATTGAAAAGCGCCTAAGTCTAAGGAGCGTCACTCGTTACCAGATTTGATTTTATTGCTGACTGTATTGCCCTCAGTGGGTCTTGAAGTCTTGAGAGGGGGAGGTACAGCAGTAGATAACGAATCTTGGAATTTTTTTCGCTGGGTAGAGAAACATCCGTTGGATCCAGTTTTGTTAGCTCACTGGAGAAATCGATGGAACACTTCGATTTCTCACAGAAATTTAAAAAAAAAATCAAATAAAATTAGAATTTAGAGAGAAAAAATTTCGATTCGCCCAGCCGGGATTCGAACCCGGGTCTCCCAGTTACGCGCCGGGCACTCTTCCAACTAAGCTACCGGGAACCACGGAAACTCTCTCACTCCAAATTCAAATCAACATTAAATAAATTCAAATAGAGAGATCACAGCAGGATGAGAATTGAAATATTTTTGGGCTTTTCTGTGTTTTCTACTGCCTTCTATGTCCTGGGTGTATTTCATAGCGTCACCGACGATTTCTGGCTTTTGTAAAGGATCTGAGGATTACCATTGGGGTAGTGCTTGATCCGAAGTAGCTCCTTTCCTCCCTGCAAAAGAGACTTTTTTGTGAGTGTCTTCAGACTGTTGTGAGGCAATTCTCAATTTCTTTCTGCGACAGCATTGAAATTCTTCTTGGGGAGAGCACTGATACGTCGTTTATACTTTGACACTCCGAGAGACATTGATTCTCGATTGGGGAATGTTCGAACACCTACCACAGATACATTTGAGTACATAATAAAGTATCTCAGTGCCTCGATACTCTTCTTCAACTTGAAAACGTAATAAGACGAGGGGTTATGACTATGGGTTCTTCTGTGAGAGCTGACGCTCGATAATCCACTATTGCATCAGACTAATGGTCATGCTGGGACAGTCTGCCGCATCAGAAATCGATGAATGATTCAGCTGCAATGAAATGATGAACTGAAAACATGACGTCGATGTGAAATGCGAATTGACTTTGGAAGTAGAGAGGATGTAGAAATAATTATCAATTGTTCTCCCCAAAAAAAGTGCTATCAAAATCAGAGAAAAATTGACAAGTATTTATTGAAAATGATGCTTGCAAGCTTATCTCACTCAGTTACACACAGCCTTCTCACAGGGTTTGCAGTGATTGTCAATGCTTTTGATCGAAGATTATTGCAGAAATGTTCCTTTTAACAATCTTTCATCAAACATAACCTCTTTCGAGCTGTCAGAATCTTCGGGCTAATGATTTCCCTTATGCCAATGTCCCGTATCACAATGCAGATATGTATTTCTATTTCCCGCACAGGTACAAATAAGATGATTAATCCTTCATCAACAATTATGTTGTTCAATTTAATGTTTTTTTTTCATGAAAAAATGAACTAATATTGTAAACACACATACAAACAGAGAGAATAAAACGCCAAAGTCGATAATACAGGAACCATCAATGCTTTGCTGGGGGTGGGGTTAGATCATAATGGGTGCTGTTCACCTCAACCTACCCAAGCAGCACAGTTCCGGAGGGTATCTCCAAGTATACCAAAAAGGCTATCTAATGTCTGTCCAAAAAGGTAACTTGTGTCTAGAAGTTACCTAGAAATTAACTAAAAGTTATCGTATGACTGCAAGATACCTTTTGGACGGACATTAGTCTGCCTTTTTGGTATACTTTCAGATATCTTTCGCAAGGTTTGCTACTTGGGAATGATTGCCAGGAAATCCGCCATGTTCGATTTCTCGATTGAATTCGATTCGACCCATGTCATGTCTTTTTTATATAAGCATTATTATTATTATAAAAAAATAAAAATAAAATGAATTTAAAAAAATTATAAAAAAATAAGGAAAAAAAAGGAAGGATCTTTTTTGGTAACGCGGCCGTTAGACTGTTGACTCTGTCCTAAACAGTGGAGCCAATAAACTTCAAATAATAATTTTTTGGTAACGGAAAAGGATTTGATAAGGGATTATAGGGTAAAGGATAACATCTCCGAGTAAAACATTTGATGGTCATGTTTTTTTAGCCCTTATACGAATTAATGCATCGAGTTTTCGGCATCCTGAGTTAATCAACAATTGGAACTCGGGAAATTTGGCCTCAAGGCCTACCGATTTCAATTCCCGCCAGTCATTAAAAATCAATAAATGCACCGCGTATCTCTATGAGTAAAGATTTCAAACAATCATTGGATAGAGGAAAACATAATTCTCGTTATTCCCTTCTTCGACACAATAATATTTCCTCTCTTCTTTTCTTGAAACGTAATTTCTTGATTGGGAGATTGAATAAATACACGCGGCACATCGGATAGCCTGCCATTAGTATGTATTTGAAGGCTGCGTGCGCAACTTTTAGGTTACGTGCAGCCAATTTTACCAGACGGTACAAGGTGGTGTGTTACGTCTTTCCATATCGTAAGGTAACCCGCATATCACCAGTGACGTGCGCGTTGTTGACAAAAGGTAATCGTATGTATGTGACGCCTGCGGGTGAAATCGAATAAATTTTGTGATTCACCTCTCCTATCTTTCCTTCACTTCCCGTGGTCATCACCGTGAAAACAAAAAAAAGTAGGAGGATTATGAGAGTTGGATTGGTTTGGAACGTCGATTGTTGAGACCAGTTTTGTGGGTGAATCTTTATATTTTTTTCAACTTTTCAAGTTATTTGCCTTTTTCCTTTTATTGTCCACAACATTGATCATCAATTTGGTACGCATCCAGACATATATTATTTTTTTTAAAGATTTTACATTTCTGATTTGGTAGAAATAGGAGTCACGTAAGAAATTACAAATTGGCTTGTTTAATACTCTTCTGCGTTTCTTATTTATTTTTTTTTATTTTTTCGAGATTATAGGATTCTTACTTTACTACTAATCCAGGTGATCCTCGTGTTAAAGGGTGCAATTATCCTCCAATTTCTATGGCTTCTGTTCATGTGGTTTTTAGGGAGGGTTTATTGGAATGAAGTGAATGAAGGCATCAACGATGCGGTGTGTTTGGAAAGTTAGGAAGTATTTTGTGTTCACATGCTTTATATTTCTACTTATTTATGGACTACTTGCAGAGTGCATTGATCTATCCATAATGGCCCCTTAAAGGCCCTTTGAACCTCTAAATGTCAATTTTTCGCTGCCAAAGACATACAAGAGTCTATTGGAGAAACATACTTAGCCACGAATTAATAAAAAATAATTACTACAAAATATACGACTGATGGATGCTGTTGATATGTGCGTATTTATTTAATCAGTTCAGTTGATATAAGCATCAAAGAATCATCATTGAAGAGGGTATCCGATTAATTCATCCCAGGATAATTCGTCTCACAAATTCATCCCAAATAATTCCATTGGAATTTGATGTTTGGGATGAAATTGTCGTGGGATTGATTTTTTTTTGGATGAATTTGCTTGGGGTGAATTATCCGGGATGAATTGGTTTGGGATGAGTAGTCCGGGATGAATTCACCTAGAACTGTTGAAGAGTATGCGACTACTATTGCTTCCGAATGGAAGCTTTGTAATCGCTCAATTTCAGTTTTCAATTTTTTGTGTTAGGGTAAGTAAGTACGGTCTAAAAAGTCCGAATTTGCGATTTTTAGATGGTGTCTGCATGTATGTATGTATGAGTGTGTATTTATGTATATATGTGGTCTTTTTTCTAAATTTTTTTTCGCATTTTTTGATAAGGAATCAATCGAATTTCATGAATTTTTTCATGAATATAGACTTTAAGGTATATTCTAAGACAATAGCACTCATAAGTTAGTCTCTATGGCTTTCCGAAAACAATTCTAAATAACGTCATTTATTGCATGCTCATAAGTTATTGAGCTTTTCTATCCTCATATGTTGATGTAGGCCACAATAACTGTTCGAATCAAGTAAGCAATTATTTGTTAATTAATTATTTGAATTAAATAAGAAATTATTTGACGAAATTTTCATTTTTAGAGTTGAATATCGCAGAAACTATATGTATACCTCAAAATTTTACAAAAAATTCACAATATTCGGAATTTTATCCATCTATCACGGATTAGTTTTTTTACAACATCGTAAGAACCGTTTTCTCATAAGATAGAAAAATCGAGATCGGTGGGGGGGGGGGAGGCATAACCCCCTTGTGGCCTATGCCTCGCGTGTCAGAAGCCCCCAATTAATTATTTATTATCTCCTAAACTGTGAAGTATAGCTGGTTAGAATTTTTGTCAAAAGCAGGGGACTATTATAAACATTATCTATGAAAAACATGGGGACAATATTAAGAAAAACGTGTTTCCTAGGGATATACAGTAATCAGCTCTATTCATTAACACCAATTAAAATTCAATTTTTATTACACTGTCCGTAACGGACATTGTGAATAAAAAATTATGTTTGTCATTCGGCTGAAAACGACTTTTCTGACTCGTATGATTGCATTCCTCGGCTTCGCCTCGGTCTGCAGACCTCACACCCGTCAGAATAGTTTTTGCGGTTTTTGTGATGGACATAAATCAATTTTTCAACAATCGCTAAAAAATTATTATCAAGATGGAATTAGTCATAGCTCAAAACATTTATAATACCCTCTTGGTTCTATCAGAATATGTGACGGTTCGCACAATTCGTTGTTAAGAAAATCGCTTTTTTTTCATGATTACTGAAAGAATCATCAGCAAAAACAATTAAGGTGTTTCGGCTGATAAGTCAAAATAATGAAAAACAAATTGGAAAATACACGGGAGAAAATTCTGAGTATGCTGCATCATTGAGAATTCTTGCACATTTTTTTCAGATCTCAGTCTGAAACAAAAAAATTATGAAATTTGGATGTTTTTGTAACTCCTCCACCTATAACCTCCGAGGTTACCCCACTCTCAATTTGGGAAATTTCCATGGCACCCAAAAAAATAATGAACTATTGAAGAAAAACTAGTGGGTGATAAATTAAATCTTTCTTGAGAACACGCATAAGTTTCAGATTTTTTCAGATTTCATAAGAACGTTATATGAACAAATAATTCGGAAAATTATGAGTCTCGGGGCATTTACGCCCCCACGCGCAGGCGTGTGATTCGAATGTCAGTAAGCAACATGGAAAAGATATGGTTTGGACCATGGAGCTGAGAGAGAGAAGATACTCGACGGATTTACCAACTTGAGATGCATTTTAGTATTATTTCAATAATTAGAAAAACATCCACTAAAAATTATTTGACACCCGTAGATGATGAGAAAAAATCAATCAATCAATCTGATAAATAAAATCAGTATTCAAAAAATGTTTAAACGTACACGTAAATAGTTACTTGAAAATTGGAAAATTTCGTGCTCAGCGATTGAATCAGGGTTCGAGAACAATAAGACTCCCCTTCCGTTTCACTTCCTGTGATCTACAGACGAAACACCTTAAATCAGGGCTTGAAAAGTATACTTCAATGCCTTCTTAATCAAGGTGAAAAATGTTGAGAAGAGCATCATTGCTTATCAAGTTACACAATACCGCCATGAGTTTGTTATATAAAAAATCACTATCTCTATTACAGTCAGGTGCTAGTCTATTGTGTTGAATACTTGTTCATATTGATTCATGTTCCTGACTAACTTCTGACAGAACCTGGGTTAAACTCTGGCTAAATCCTGAATAAAGCCTAATTAAATTCCGACTATGCCCTGATGAAACCTTCATAGAACCTTGATTAAACCCGGACTGAAAACGAATTCGAGTCTTGAGGGGCCTTAATGTAGAATTATTTGACAGAATGAAATAATACGTACAATTTTAATGATATTTCAACTGGTGATAGTAGTATGACATGAAAAAATAAAAGAAGAGAATAGTGAAATAAGAATGTCAAAGAAGAGAACCCAATCGGAAGCTAATTGCTAATTCATTAGCAACAATTACTGCACTCATTTATTTAAAAAATGCAATTGTTCACTTGTTTTTACTTGGAGGAAAATTGTATCATTTTCCTTAGCTCTCCTCCCCCCCCCCCAAACCTTTGGACCTTTTGAGTTTTATCGTGCTGTCAAGTTTTTGTGATAGTCGCCATTCACCTTCCAAAATCCACTCATGAAATATAGAGGTTCTTCATGTATTGGGAAGTCTATAACTTGAATACTCGTGTATTATAAATTATAGTATTATAGATCTATGTATCGGACGGGATTGGGACCTCAGATGGGGGCGGGGCGTAGGTTGTGGACCCTACATGCACGGGTTCACATTTTCGCCACTCGACAGTAGCTCCTTGGGAGAGATAGGTCAACCTTTTGCACGGATTCCTATCCTGTCCGATAGATAGAGTATTCAAGTTCTTGACTTTCCAATAGGAACCCGTGGAAGTAGGTTGCGAGCCCTATCTCTCCCAAGGAGCTACCATGCATCTTGCCAAAGAAGGACCCTCAGCCGTACCCATATCCCAACTCTACCCAAATATCACCACTTATGCTCGTGCTACCCACCACTGAAATCAAGGTTACTGATTTGGCAAAATTTAGTATATTGTTGAGTGCGACCTACGCCCCGCCTCCGTCAGACTTTACAATATTGTCTGGTTTCCTCTTCGTTCGGTAGTATTGCTAATCACATCAACCTCACAAATACACGAATATATAACTTCTGATTCACTTCTGATTGTTTTTCACTTAATTTTTTACAAGTCTTTATGAGGAGTTTTATCTTGCAAATTGAATAACACTCATTTTTAGCATCGCCAGAGTTTTTAAACCTCATCAGTACTTTCTGTAGTGCAAGATTCAAGTTGAGTGATTTGTCTTAAGATTTTATCCGTTATGTCAGTTTTTTAATTCACATCACTGTTCTCCAGGCGTGGGATATACAATATTCGTCTTTTTAAACCCATTCTTCACGATGTCACTGCTCCTTAACAATCTCAAATTGAGATAATTTCTTACAGCTCCATAGGAAATTGCGACGAGGTAGAAGAAGTGTATCAGCCACATTGGCAGATCATAACACAGGAAAACTTTCATTAGTACTTCCAGAAACATGGGAGTCCATAGAACAACTCCGGCAATCAATGATATCTTGAGAATCCGTGAGAGTTTCTCTATTTCCTCAGTTTGATTCTTCACTGTCTGGGGAGACCCTCCATCTTTAATCCTTGCTTTTTCCACCTGAAGTTTACCTTTAGCTGTTTCTACTGCTTCAAAACTGTCATGTGTTGATCCAAACCAACCGAAATTTGAGAGCTTGTAAGGGCCCGATGAATTTGAGCCAATTGAAGACACTGAAGATGCCAAAATTCGATCTGAAATTTCTAACTCTTCGGGTATATTCAACCATACATAATGAAAACGCATGTATAATATTGTGGACAATAATATTGGCCCAAAATAAATGAAAACTACCAATAAGAATAGGTAAATTTTCAGAAAGTTTGTGGAGATAAAACATTGACTCTTCAGACAGGTCGGAGTGGTAAATTTAGCATAATCACCATCAATTTTCTCATCCAATATAAATATTTGGTGCAACCTCCCTTTTTGAGAAAGTTGTGGTTTTAGTCTATTTCTAACATGCAATCCGCTGTTGTAGATTTTCTGCATAATATTTTTCAAAGTTTCCTCAGCCGATGTGATTTTATTAGATTTTGTTGATGTTATTAAAGGACTTTGATGGCTAGTCATGAAAAGTAATGGCTCGGTAAAGGCATCAGCGATATACTGAGTGGACACATTGGTCATCAAATCTTCGAATAGTTTAACGTCATCTTTTTCAATTTGTCTACTTGGAATTTCCACGAAATTAGTAACATTCAATAACGACATACTGTCATAATATCCTTCAGGTCTCTGGAGTTCCATTCCCGAGGATTCCAAGGCTGACTCAAGGACGTCATAAACTTTAGAAACAACCTCGTCAAACACTGAAGAATTTGGTGGTAGTCTGTTCAGTGCTAGCTCATTGATATAATTGTTTTGATTAACCAGTAAATACCTAGACGAGTTGGAAGTTTCAACGCCGTGATCACTAATAACGAAATAGCAATTTTCGAAAAGAAAATTCGTTGTGAAAGTACAAGTCTTATCAGCGCCTGGTATATCTATCAATCTTTCGTGATCAGCAAAAAGTAAAATTATTGTTGACAAAATTGGGATCATCCATTGACTAGCTATGCTCATGAAAGTTATAGTTTTGTTCCTTTCGTTTATATTCCTAAACAAGGTTTTCTTTCTTTGATTGGAAACATCGAAATTCATCCCACTTCTGCACTTCTTGTAAAGAATTTCCACATCACAGTTGTACTGAATTGACATAGATAATAAAGAAATAAAAGAGTTTGCAAAAGGTATCAAGAATAACGAATAGTTCATCAGAATTACTTGCAAATCACAATTAGCAGTTTTGTTTTCTTCATCGTTGGTTTCGTTGATTATTTTGAATGACTTCATGATGCCATTCTCCGAAGAACCTCCAGAGCTTTGCGGCGTTATCTCTTTGTAGTGATTGTAAAACAGTAACATAGCTATTAAAACACTACTCAAAATATCTGATGTTACTAAGATGTATAATGATGAAGATCTGCATTGTTTGAAGTTTCTTTTCAATAAGACAATGAAGGATATCACACTCGAAAAAATTAGTACGGTTGCAGCAATTCCGTTCACGATTGAATTCATTTTTCAAATACTAACGCTTATTTCACGTTCCTATATTTGCTTTCTATAGAAACTCTACGAGATGTTTAAACTATGAGAGTTTTTTCTAGAATGACGGTCTGATATTTTTGCAAAATAATATGCTGGTGATGCATGGAGGCAACAGCAATCGATAACAAACGTAACTGTACATAGTCTCGCTATAGGGGTCTGAAAAAATAATTATCAGTTATATTCGGTGTTATCCTTCGAATTGATGGCAAATAATGTCATAACCATAAGATTTCCCTTGTAGATCATACAATCTAAGAGCTAAGTGTTTATTTTTTTTCAATTACAGAAAAAGCAAATCACAATGTCAGTACGACGCAGAACCGATTCGTCAATGACGCAGAGAATATGGGATGCAATAAAGATAACAATAAACCAAAGGAGTTTACCAAGCAACGATCGCATTGTGAGGCACTTTGCGAGAGTTTACGGTGTGGCCGAGCACGCTGCCCAGGAAGAATTGAATAAAGCAGTAGCAGATGGATTAGTTTTTTTAAAAAAAGTACAGTCAAAGGGGGGTATCGAGCAGGAGAGTTACCGACTCCCCTTGGAGCCACCTGAGGACGATGGATACGACTGGTACTGTTACGATTGCCATAAGGCAGGCCTAGTCGAGGCTTGCAAACAATGTTTCCGGGTTTATCATCCCAATTGCCACGTACCCAGTGATTCCGATACCAAAATTTGCGCTTTCTGTGAGAAGATTAATAATGATTCATATCCCGATATTGTTGCACTCAATCACATTCTTGGCTTCACCTGTGGACATCTGAAAGCCAAGTTGCCACAAGAAATCACGAATAGAAAAATTGTGGGGGACAATTCTACTGGGGAGGTACCTCAAGGAGGGATCGTTGGGCCCACATGGGTCAGTGAAGGAGAGGATGTTTGGAGACCTGCCATTCTCATTAAGAATCATATGGATTTGACCATTATGGAAGGGAAGACTAAGCAGAATGAGTATAAGAATCTTGCTGAATTCCAGGCTGATGCACACAACATTCTACACAATATCATCATTTATCATGGAAGTATGTTGTGGATTTCAATGAATGAATTATTTTAACTTTAAAATTACAAAAAGGGTCTAGCCGGATAAGCATGGTCAATTTGCCCCCAGCGAATTTCAATGCGGTAATTTTTTCACATATTCAACATCTAAAACAATTTTGTGCTAAATTTCAGATCATTATATTGATTCCCGGAATTTTAATAGGGGAAACACCAGTGTTTTTAATTTCATTTTTTCTTGCGTACTTGGACATAAAACCTAATAATCTGAAAAAATTCTAAAAAATCAAAAACATAGAATTGAAGAATATATTTTTTGTTTTATTTTTTATTGGCTTTTGTTTTTAACATCCCGACCCGAAAGAAGAATCATCTATACGGGTCTATTACTTGATCATTATAACTAGACCTACTATTGTCTAATTTTTTTTCCAATCAATGCATCTCCATGTAACTTAGAACTGATTCATTTCTGAAGATGATTGCCTCAGCGGTTCTTTGGTAATTCGCAAAAAACGTGAAACAAGCCGTGGGTAGCGAGAATATGACGACGAGCATATGATAGTGAGCATGTCACCTAGTGATGTTTTAATGCTTCCTTCCACGTATGAAAATATCCTATAGGATTTTCTATAGCATATCCTATAGGAAATCGATGGAGAATTCGAATATTTCCTATAGGATTTTCCGGGTAGGATTTTCTATAGGATTTCATATGAGATTTTCAACAGGATTTCCTATAAAATTTAGGGGTATAAAGGTCACAATGAGGGTCAAACGTATCATATGGGGGTCATATATGGGTCCTAAAGGGTCATATTAGTTATTGAAGGGTAATATGGGGAACATATGGAGGTTATATGGGGGTCATACGGGAATTTTATCAGGGTCATATGGGGTCACATAGGAGTTGTCACATGGGGGTTATATAGGAATTATATGGGGGTCATATAGGTAGTATATGGGGGTCACGAGGGTCATTTGATCCTCATGAGCCTCCTATGACCTTTGTATGACCCTCGTATGTCCCCATGTAACCCTCATGGGACTTATATAGCCCACATATGATCCCTACATGATCCCCACATGACCTTCATATGACCTCCATGTGATACTCACATGACCCTTATATGACCCCCATATGACTCTAATTTTGACCATTATGACCTTAAATTTCATAGGAAATCCTATTGAAAATTTTATAGAATATCCTATAAGAAATCCTATAGAAAATCCTATCTGAAAAATCCTATAGAAAATGTTTGAATTCTCCATAAGATTTTTCCATACGTGTCCACGAGCTTAGAATCTCGTTTCGCTCGATCACATCGCGGTTTTCGGGCCCAATAACATAAAATATTCTATGTCATACGGCGATAAATGTATTACCTGACGGATGTGATTATAATCCTCGCCTTCGGCTCGAATTATAAAGTCACATTCGTCCGATGATACTTTTATCGCGTAATGACATGATGTACTATTTTTCACTCTCGGGTATTTCTCCCCATTTTTGCAATTTGTGTCCTTCTCTCCCCCTCCCCTCCAATTCAAACTCTTTCAACCTAATATATCGCATTTGCTGAAGGTTTGAAAACAACCTAAATTAGTGGAAAACCTGACCAGATAAAGTCGTGGCCTCCGAGATTCCTAAATTACTTTCCGAAATTACTTTCAAATCCGTATTTGTTTGTAATTACTCTTTATTCCCCTCCTACCTCATTAAATTCCCTTTTTTAATTTAAAAAGGGGGGGCGGGGAGAGAAAGGCACAAATTGCAAAAATGGGGAGAAATTTCCGAGAGTGAAAAATAGTACATCATGTCATTAGGCGATAAAAGTATTGTCGAACGAATGTGACTTTATCACAGTATTATAATGTGACTTTATAATAGAATGGTCTGAAACTTCAAAATACGAAATTTGACCATTTTGTATATATGTGGGGGTGTCCAACTTTTAGAAAATCCAAGAATTAAAGGACTAAAATGATTGCGAGAAATCTGAAATTTTATCAAATTTTAGGAATCGATGAGAACTAACTCTGCTCAATTTCAGCGCAATCGATCTAGCCATTTTTGAGAAATCGCCATTTGTTTCTAAATCGTTTTTCGCAAATCCCCTATAGAACAATCCGTGATCGTGACACTGGTCCTTCTTCTGGTTTTCACACTAATGTCTCTCTTCCTATTTGACGCAACTTATGTTTTATGCTCATTCGAAATTGTATTAAATAAACTTCAGATTGACACGTGAATCATTCCATTGTGATCATTTTTCATGAAGTTATAGCTCTTTTAGGCAAAAATTGGTTTTTCGTGCTTTGCTTGAAAATTCAACTTTGGCTGGATTTTTTCATCTTTTTTAGGGGGGGGGGGGGTCTCGCCACTTTTTTCAAGTCCTAAAAATATTTGACGGAAAATTTTTTCATTTTTTTTATACGTTTTTTAGGTATGATGAAAAAAGTGGAAGCATGCATGAGTCATCACATTATCTCAATTTTACGACACTATTTGTTTGTTTTCTCCTATAAGGAGATAAGCAAATCCAAATCCCATGCGATTGATTTTGCGAGAGATCATATCAAGTACCAAAAAAATCGAAAAAATCAAAAGATGTAGGAGGAGATACGATTTTTCGAATCGATTAATTTCAAAAATGGACATTTTCAATAGGAAAAAATGAAAAAAATGCTTGGAATATATATACCTTTCAGAAAACAGTCATAATGTGATTGAAAAAATCAGCATTCCCCCCCTCTGTAAGTTGTTTCTCCTTTTTTTCTTCATTGCTCCTCAACTTAGGAGGTGAAAACAAACCGGTGAACGATATTGGCGAGCAGGGGGGGGGGAGGGGGAAATCTCATTGAATTCATGACTTAGGTGATTAAATTGGCTCTTATTCAGAACGTCAAACCGTCAATGTTTACGTTTTACGTGAAACCCAAACATTGAATGGTCATCAAACCTCAGTCGTTTGCAGTATTTGATTTGTGTAAGTTATTTGAGATAGTGTGTTGAAAAGAATTGAGCAGTATTACTCGAGTACTCGACGGAAAAAATGCCCAAACTTCCAAAGATGATTTTTTTTCAAAAAATTAGCGAAGAAGCATTGGAAGACAACTGAGGAATTGAACCATTTGGAAGTTGCTGATGATTACTGTGAAGATATTGATTGTGGTCGACCAAATGGTGATTCAGTTCAAGAAAACGTTTCAAGTGATTTTTGTTGTGAAAATAATGGACCTCAACCATCTAGCAGTAATAACAACGCTGAACGGAATGGTGCAAGTGGTAATGAGAATCTTGCCTGAACGAATAAAAAATATTGATGATGGTGTGAATGCGCAGATTGCTTCAGACCAGAGTACTGCTACGTACTCTGAGTACTGCCATGGCCGTGGCCACGGTCTTTGGGCCGCTTGCCATATGGCCTTTGCCTTTGACCTTTGTGACCTGTGTGCCCGTGCGGCGCCCTGACCTTTAAGGACCTTTAAGGTCATAAGGGCCATAAGGGTCACAAGGTACAACAAGGTTACGAGGGTCAAGAGGGTCAAACTCCCGTACTTGATTATTTGATTATAAGTCAAATAAGATCAAATGTTATGGGCATGTCACATACTGAAAATTTCGTATTTTTTTACCGTTTTGTCCTGAATTACTGACTTTTGGTTCAATTATTATAAAAACTCTTAAATAAATTATGAAGTTTATTGAATAAGCTTTAAATTGAGAGATGAATCAATCAATTTCGACAATTTTTCCCAAAGTTATAAGAGTTTTTGTCAAAAATGAATTTTTTCCTGTTTTATTTGAAAATTTAACTTTTTCTGTATTTTTCTATCTTTTTGAGTGTAATCAGCGGAAAAATAAATATTTCATTTTGAAGGACATTGTTCTTTCTCCAAATTGTAATGTATTGAATGCGATTTGAAGTTATTGGAGATTGCCTTTCTTTTGAACGTCATGCCACACCTTGAAATTCGGTCTTTACATCCAATTTACCATACTCAACGAGATCTTTAAGGATAATCGGGCGAGCCCGGAGGGTTAGAAACAAAGCAGCCATTATTTTTCTTTTTTTTACGTATTCTTAAAATGATGGGAAAGGCGTGTGCAAAGTTTCAGACTGCTGGGAAGCATGATTAATTTATTATGAATTTTTGAAAAAGTGGTCTATTAACCCGTGATCTTATAGAAATCACAAAAAAACTGCAAAACCCAAGGAAAAAATACAGCCAAAGTCATGAAACTTTAGCCACATTTAGAACATGTGATCAATGATTTTTTGAGTGAAAAAGATTGTCGCCTAGAAGCATTGTTTATTAATAATAGCGAAAAAAGTACTGAAAAATGAAATTTCTGCATACGCAGCCTAAACGAGCAGCAACGTCCCAAGTACCGATCGGGTGGGGGTAGCGCGGTCAATTTAAACGTCTCTTAAGAGAGAGCGATGAAGCGTTGTCATTGGAGCTCCCTCGAGCCAGTGGTACCAGCTCCTGGTGAAAAAACAACTAGCGACGATGTTGCCACTTTTTAGCATGGATTAATATTTTTTCATTGATAAAAAAAAGACAATCTGAAAACCATTCAATGTGTGGAACAGATACAAAGAAATTTGAGTAGTTCCAAAAATAATTTTTAACTGGAGATACTCCCTAATATTGCCTGAATTTTGAATCCGAATGGGAAATTTTTTTTTGTTCAGCGATTGGTTTTCGGCAGGACACAATAGAAACCCCTCCGCTTTACCTCCTACATTTCCTCCTCGCCCGATTATCCTTAAAATAATATAAGGAAGGAATATATAAGGATATTTAGGGTTACTGCAATTTTGATCCTCGGAAAAATTCTCCCGAAAATTTCCGCATTTGTGCGGAGATTTTTCCCGCTGAGATTTTTTCTGGGATCAAAATTCCGGTCGCCAATATTTAGTTACTAGTGCACTGTTAAAAATTTCCGACCCAAAATTATTACACATGTGTAGGAAGTAATTTACATCATACGGTATTATAAATTTAT